TAGAGAGCACTTTCCTATCATGCACAAGGCCCTAGGTCCAGTCCCTAGCACTACAAAACCAAAGTGAAAGTACAATGCCAACTTCAGGGTATTTCCAGTCCAGATAGGTCTGTTGGGGATTAGGAGCACCTCTCTGAAAGGTTGGGGAGCATTTACTCTGTGCTCAATGTATTTATTTCCTACAAAATTCGTTTCCTACAAAATATCACAAATTCAGTGCCTAGTCTTATTCTTCAGCAGTGTTAAAATCACAGTGGGGGGGGGCGGGGGAAGGCTGAGTTCCTTCTGGAAACTTCTAAGGAGAATGTGTTACACCTGGCCCTTTCTGGAGGCCATTGGATCATGGCTCTTCCATTGTCACATATCCTGCTAGAACTTACACCCTTTTACCTTTCTACTTTGTATAAATATGTACTCTTGTGATGGTATTGGATGGGCCTGCTTAACAATACAAGGTAGTCTCCCTATTTCAAGGATCTTAACTTTAATTACATTGGGAAGGCCCCTTTAACTATGCAAATAACATAGTAGGTTCTGGGGAATACAGTGTGGGTACATTTGGAGAGCTATGGCTTAATTTCTATAGCCAGGTATCAACTAGTTAGCAAGAAGGCAGGACCTTCAGGTTCTAGATCTGATGTGGAGATTACCTTGCCCAGATTTGTGTGAAATATCCTGTTCTTTGAATATGAGTTTCTTGTTTGCTTTTGTGTAAGATGTCTAATTTTTCGAAGATTTATTTTGTGTACGAGTGTTCTATGTGCATACATGTACCTGCACTAAATGCATTCCTGGTACCCATGGAGGCCAGAAGAGTGTGTTGGTGCCCCTGGAAGGTTGTGAGTCACCATGTGGGCACTGGGAACTGAACCTGGGTCCCCTGAAATAGCAACAAGTGCTCTTAACCACTGAACCATCTCTTCACCTCCTAAGATGATTAATTTGGTTTATCAGTTCTATCCAAGATGGCAAGGATCCAGAGGCATCAAATTCATAACCAACCCTCAACAAAGGTTGTTTTATTCAGGGAGAAAATAGTAGGAGTGCTTGGAGAAGGTACCCTGCATATAGGAATCAAGCATGATTGTACTGTCTTCCATCTTGATGTATACTTTTCTATAGGGCCTTAAAGAAGTCTTAACAATTTGGCCTGTTTTCACATGTGCCAAATGGAGCCAACAGTCTCACCTTTACTATCTGAAGGCTAAACTGGCCCCAAGTGTGTTTCCTGGGTTGTTCTGTAAGGGACCCATGTAACTGTCTTGAAAGTACCCTTTATTTACTCTATTATTTGCCCAAATATTTCTGTCCATTTGGGGGATCTTGAGGGCAAGACATTGGATAAAATTCTCCGAGATATAGGCAGGCCTGTTTCTCATTGCTCCATCATTACTATTTAGTTAGCAAGTGTAACTGAAAAGGCTGAGTGGCCACAGTATTGACTTAGCCAATAGCAGCCTTGTGAACACTCATTGGTTTTACCCCTCTAGACCCTGTTTGCAGAGACAGAGAAATGTGAAAGAATTTAACTAGAGTTTCTGTTTTCCAAAGTAGAAGAGGAAAAACTCAGGAAAAAGGCCAGGTTTATCAAAGCAGGAAGAAGCATTTAATATTCATACCTCCATGAAGCAGTATCTATCTATCTATCTATCTATCTATCTATCTATCTATCTATCTATCTATCTTCTATTGTTTTAGGGCTGAAGGCATTACTTCTGTGTAATTTTAATTTTCTAAATTTCAATTTTTAAGAGTTTAAGGTGAGAAATGATTAAAGTAACCATGATTTTCACATGTGTTTCAGGAAAGTAGCTCCATTACAGTTCAACACTTTGCACAACTCTGCAAAAGGTGGTTCTGAAAATGTTCTCTCAGTTCCAGCCACTGGGTTTGATGATCACAGCTTAAGCTGCTCAAAGTTCATCTTTCCAGATTTTTCTAAGCTACTCGACGCTTATCCTAACCGAAATGGAAGGGAATTGAAGGAATAGTGAAGGAGGGAAGGATGTTTGGAGCCTGGTGGCTAGGCCTTGCAAAATGCTCACACCCCAATCCACCTCAACAAGATGATAAATGTATTTGGAAGCATAAGGTGGAGGAATTCACCAGTGACTAGACACAATGGGTTGTGTAGTTACCTGCCCATTTCAGTGCAAAGACAAAGTCTTTAGATCATACAATTTCTTCCATTTTGTGATATAAAATCAACTGAACTCCCAGAAGCCTCCTTTAACAGTGCTAAATTGAGTGTCACACAGTTGGCTATATGGAGGGCCAGCACCAAGGTGGGATTTATTAACTAAACCTTCCTTTAAAACCATTATCATACAACTGCCAAGAAATTCAAATGTTACATAATACAGTTTTTGAAATAATACCACATCCAAGTTAATGGGTGCTTTTGCTGTTGTGTACTTTTCTTCAGTTCTTAAAGTTAGAAGGGGGTTTTTGCAACTCAGTGGGAGAGAGCTTATCTAGCATGCTTAAAGTCTTGGTTTCCATTCTCAGCACTACAAAACAGAAAAACAAATAAAAAACCAAATAAACAAGAAAACATATTGAGGATTTTGAACTTGCAGGGAAAAAATGGGGCATTTAAATATTTCTTCAACACAGACAAATGTTTACCTCCCACTGGAAATCTACACAGTCTTATAAACCCAACAGCCTTTGTTGACTGTAACAGGATATACTTTGTAGTTTAGTCTTCAGAATGAATTACCAGAACAGTCACCTGTAAACAAGCAAGCGAGGTAGACAGAAGCAGAAACAATCATTTTTACCTATTTTCACCACTGATTTACTCCACTGACAACTGGAAAATATTTACCCTCTCAAAGTCCTGTCATGAGACCATATAACTCTGATCACATGACAGACTCCCAGAACTCTATGTAGAATGAGCATTATAAACAACACCCTGGTGTATCCAGGATATATGTCCCTGGCCATTTTAAATGATGAACCTAAGGTCTTTATCTTCCTGGTCTGCTGAAATCATGGTTTCTTGGCAAAGTACAAAGGGCTCCTGGTGACTTCTGGTACTGACCTGAATTGTGAATACGTGCTTTTGCTTTTTTGGGACAGGGTCTTGTTATGCATCCCAGGCTGTCCTAGTAGTTATTATCTTTATGCCTCAGCCTTTAATGCTGGGATTCTAGACATGTGTCATCATACCCAGATGATTTGTGCTTCTAAACATTCAATTCTTCATCCCTGAACCTCCCTTTTAACATAAATTAAATACCTAGATTTAAAAAACAGTATGCCAAAACAGAAAATTACCACACTGACAGTAGTTAACAGTTTTCATAATTTAATGAAAAAGTACTGATAAAAAGGTGACATTTGAAAAGATTGAATTCATCTTCAAAATGAATTATGTAAGACAAGATGAAAAACATTAACAAAGGTTAAGAGGTAATACTTCAAAGAACAAAATGTTGCAGATGCATTTGGGGCATTTGGAATGTATACAAACTGAAGGCTCATTTATTTACTCAGGAAAATTCTGTAAAAAATATTACCATTTTATCTCCCTGACTTGAATGATATTTCAAGCAATACTCTCCCAATAGCATTACATATATAATTTGGCTAGAACACTGTTTTCCTGTTTGCTTTTCCCCCTACTCAGAATTCAAAGGTATAAAGGACAGGCAACCGATTTGCCTTTAATGTAAGGAATTTACCACTGACCTCAATTATACTCTCATTGCCATGAAAGTGTCACATTTATATGTACCTATGAGTATTCAAATAAGCACAGAGGCTGAGAGTATTAAGAGGAAATTCTCTTCATTTTCCAACTACAACAAAATACAGGACACCTACTACACATGTTCTGGTATGTTCATTCACACATGTTCATAGGCACAAAGGAAACATTCTGAAAATGCAGCCAAATGAAAGGCAAAATATAGAAGTTTTCAAAAAAGAGAGGGAACAAAACTCCAAAGAAGCCTTTAACAAGGTTCTAAGATCAAAAGTGGGAGAGAGGCAAACTGCTCCACAGCATTGGCTAGATAGAAGGCTACTGCCCTATCACTGGCACCTGTTGCAGCTGGCTTCTTTCACTAGCATGAAACTTCAGAAATTGAAAATGGCCTCTTGTTTGAAAATTCTCTCTATATGTTCCCAAACTAGAAGAAAGAGAATATTATTTTAAGGCTAAGAAGAAAAGGGAACTGAGAATTACAGTCTGCCTCACATTTTTACAAACAGCTACTTTCCCCTTTTTCTTAAATGAGAAGCAGGCCTGTTTTATCTACTGCTTCAAAATTCTCTACCTCTAGAAATTAATCAAGGCCATTTATTTGGTAATGTGGTATAAGCAAGTTCTGAAAAATGGCTCCGACATTTATGCTTGGGGAAATTGCCTTGTATTCAAAATTCATACAAAGCTAAATTATATCCATGTGCTAAACACATGCTTTCAAATTTGTCTGACAATAAAAATCTGTTTCAAAATTAAAGCAGGTAAGAATACTTAACCCTCTGTGCATTACACTATATTTTAATTATACCTCAATAAAAATTTTATAAACATTAAAGCAGGTATACAAATTTGTCAGCCAACTTTAGTCAAACTTATTTGAAAACAACACAAAAAACCCTGACCTGGTACAAATAACCCAGAAAGGTCACACTTTGGGAAAGGCTCTGGATGTCTTCACAAATGCCTTGAGAAGCAGAGCATTTTCCTTGGAAGTAGTACTTTTGTACTTTTGTAAACACTATCCACAAGTTAGCTTGTTAGCTGGATAAGAGAGTTATGAGTGTGTCCCTAACAAGCAGGTCTAGGAACAGGCACTGGACACTTAGGAGAATTGCCTTTATACTATACGATACTGTGAAAGAAACTCAACCTTGCATGAAGCAAGGAAGACAATAATAAGTGACAGTATCTGCTGCTCTCCTGGTCTCTGCCTTGAAGAGGTTTTATAGATACCAATGAAATTAGAAATTTTCTACAGACACAACCTTTAATGAGTCACATGTTATAGTTTCAAAAGATAAGTAGTTTTATTGTCTGCCATGTTATCCATCAACAATGCAAAGATTCTTAACATGTAGATTAATCAGTGTGTTAATGTACCCGGAAAGCAGTCCTTAAGTACTCACTGAGCAAATACTCTGGGCTCAAATGTTCCCAGCAGCCTCCAACAAAGCAACCCCAGACAATCTGCAACTCTTGTAATGTGCTTATAAAACTATACCTGAAACCTTTTCAAAAATGTCAAACCATTATTTTCCCTGCAATTCCTCCTAACATACACTAGAATGCTTTTGGTGTTTAAATTTCCCCCAGTATGTGGGGCAAAGGCAAAGGGTGTATTACCCTTAGGTGTTTCTGATCACCTTTGCATTGAGGTATGGGAATGAGGGTACGTCTTGCTTTTCCCATGGCCCTCCCGTGCAGAATCATGAGGATTTTCTCTGTCAGAACTTTCTCTCTTTACCCTTGCTTTTTCTGTATTCCCCTCCCCTTCTGCCTCTGAATCGCTTGGCTCTAAATCAGGGCAATACCCATCAGCTTCCTGATATGGAGCTCTTCCTGTTGACCGCCTGAGAAGCTGTCTACCCCACAACTGCTCCTTAGAGCTCACATTCTTAGTTGGCTTAACACAGTATTGGAGGTCCTCAGTGGGCCTCACCCATGTATTGGTGGCCTCCTTAAAGGACCTGCTGAGGTGTTCTATGCCAGATTTTCTAATGTTGCCCTGACTGGGCAAGTGGGAGCTGAGCATGGATTCCTGGTCACAGAACATCTCATCTGAATCATCTTTCTGGGACACATTCCCAGACCAGTTGCCCTCCAGTCCATTGGAACTGGCAAGCCTGGGCTGACTCTTCCCATTACCAATAGAAGCCTGTCCATGGAGGGCAGCCTGAAGGGCCAGAGGCTTCCCTAATGATTGCCCACGATAGAACTCTGCAGATGGAGCTCTCTGAGCAGGACTGGAACTCTTGGCTTCACTTCGAGAATGGCTGCGGCTAGCTGGAAAACAGTTACTATTGATTTCTAGTGGATGTCTTGGATATAGTTTTACATTCATGTCCAGTGGCTCCTCAGGCATCTGTGGGCTCCTTTTATTGTGACCAGGCGAGCTGCTGCCAGGAGAGGAGGGTTGGTGCTCTGTTTCTGTGGAGCTGCCTGGGCAGTCTTCTGAGGTTGATTTAGGCATTTTCAACTTTAAGGTAATTCGTGGTGGTGGGTAAAACAATGAGTTCTCTAGTGCATTTGTCACAGAAAGTCCTGAAATCAAAAAGATTTGTTTAACAACTGACTGAATTAATAGCATATATGTATATCACTATATATGTTCATGAACCCACTGTTCCAAACATCTAATTAGCACCTGTCTTTGATTAGCATGTATACCATGGTGAGCTGCTGAAGTGTGTTGCAGTAGAGGATGGACCCAGAGTCCCACAGAAAGCACTATCCATGGCTCCCAACATTTACATCTTTGCTTTCCTAACCTATAAAACAATAGCAACAACTAGTGTGCTCCGTCTTATGTCTCAAATTCCATGTCTTTCATTTCTTTGTGTATGTGTGGGGGCAATTGTACATGTGTACATGCATGTGGAGGCCAGAGGTTGATGCTGGATGTTTACTTCAATCGCCCTCTACCTTACTTTTTAAGACAGGGTTTTTCACTGAAACCTGGAGCTTATCAGTTGGCTAGATTAGCAAACTCTTGGGATCCTCTTGTCTCCACCTAACCAGTGCTAGATTCACATCACAAGGGTGTGCAGCGCACAGGCTTTTTATCTGCTTCCTGGGTCTTGAACTCACTAACAGAGCTCTTGCCCTAGACATTTCCTTACCTTTCACTACTAAAAAGAATTCCAGAGAAACCCTGTCTCAGAAAAAAAAAGTTAGGTGGTGGCGGCACACACCTTTAATCTCAGCATTAGAGAGGAAGAGGCAGGCGGATCTCTGTGAGTTCCAGGCCAGCCTGGTGTTCTAGGACACCTAGAGTGAGTTCTAGGACAGGCTCCAAAGCTACACAGAGAAACCCTGTCTCGGAAAAAAAAAGTCATTCACAGTGGTTTGGAATGAATTCTTTGGGTGTTTATGATTGGGCACATGGGTAATGAGCAAGACTGAAGATGTGCCTCAAACACAAGACATTTCAGATTTTATTCCGCTTTCTTCTCCAGGCATTCCCAAACAAGTCAAATAGAGAACTTCAGAAGAAACACAGTACAAGATTTGGTAGGGGAAAAGTACCTAGGTATTTTAACTTGGCATTAGAAGCAGTGGGTAAATATTTTATGCCCTTAATCTATAATATCCTGATTATGAATTGTCATTATGAGGTATGAGATAATTACTTGCAATAGCATATGTGTAGAGGTAGATGATAACATTATAAAGTCAGTTCTCTCCATCTTTACATGGGTCCTAAGGATCAAACTCAGGCCACCAGGCTTTTGAAGCAAATGCTGTTACCTGCTCAGCCATCTTGCTGGCCCTGGGGGAGGTTTGATAGTGGTAAGGGCCAGCAGCAAACGATCACAACATATAGGATTATCCAGGGATGTATTAATTACCTAGAATATGTCACCCTACAACTGGTCTTTGCCCATTATATTCTTACAATATATAGCTTCAAAAAATGAGATATAAAGAGGATGGCTTACAAGTATACTAAAGGGTACCATGCATTCCCCAACGGTCCATTTTGAACAACTACAGCCTCCATCTCTGCTAGGGCTTGCCACCTGTTGATGCTGTAAGCCATATTCTTATAATCAGAAGCTACTTGGCTAAGTCCAATCTTGTCAGCACACAGGGACTCCTCTTGTTGTCCTTCACTTCTTATTGCTTTGACAGTCATGTTACAGGGTAATCTTGTAGCTGAGTATCCCTGCTACTTCCTGCTATACTAGCATGCTTTAATGTAGTCACAAATACCCCAGGAGCGTTTGATACCTACCTGACATCTTGTTTCTATGTGTTTATTATTTTATGGTTGGCTTTTAGCAGGTGTGGATTCTATACATTTTGCCCAAGTTACCCTTAGTGTTCAGGTTCTCCCACCTATTTCTTTCTTTTTAATAATTATTTTTATAGCCAGGCAGTGGTGGCACACACCTTTAATCCCAGCACTCAGGAGGCAGAGGCAGGCAGATCTCTGTGAGTTCGAGACCAGCCTGGTCTACAAGAGCTAGTTCCAGGACAGTCTCCAAAGCCACAGAGAAACCCTGTCTCAAAAAACCAAAAAAAAAATTTATTTTATTTGCATTGCTGTTTTGCAGGAATGTATGTCTTTGTGAGGGTGTCAGACCTGGGGTTACAAACAGTTGCTGTTAGCTGCCATATGGGTGCTGGGAATTGAACCAGGTCCTCTGGAAAAGCAGTCAGTACTCTTAACCACTGAGCCATCTCTCCAGCCCTCTCCTATTTCTATATTAAAAGAAACATAGGAAAGTATCACTGTATATGACTGTCATAATTTCTAGCCAAGGTTCTACTTTGGGTACTGTAATTATCATCACCTCTCTCTCTCATCAAGTGGGCAATGCAGGGATTCTCTGTTGACTGCTCTATCTTCTAGTTTAGTGTTAGTCCCTAGTACAGTGGTTCTCAACCTTCCTAATCTGCAACCCTTTAATACAGTTTCTCATGTTTAATGGCTCCCCAACAACAAAATTGTTTCGTTACTACTTCATAACTGTAATTTTGCTATTGTTATGAATCGAGATGCAATAGCTGTGTTTTCCAATGGTCTTAGGCGATCTGTGTGAAAAGGTCATTCAACCCTCAAGGGTGAAAACTACTGCCCTAGTATGTTCTCAATAAATATTAGTGAATATTTCAAAAGATTAGAAATATATATTTTTTGGTGTTTCGAGACAGGGTTTCTCTGTGTAGCTTTGGAGCCTATCCTGGCACTCACTCTGGAGACCAGGCTGGCCTCTAACTCACAGAGATCTACCTGCCTCTGCCTCCCGAGTGCTGGGATTAAAGGTGTGCACCACTAATGCCTGGTGAAATATATCTCTTTTAACTCCTGGCTGAGGATCTATTTTAACAAATGACCTTTAAGATGAGGAACCCTCTAGGCTTTGGTGCTAGCTTCTTGATTTTAGAAGTGAATTTGATAATTAGAAAACACTTTCATGGCTATAATTACTAGATTATCTGCTCTAGACTTGCAACTGCTCCTTTACTCCTATCCTGGAATTTCTTTTCCTTCCTTCCATGTTTTCTGGGAGGGGGGTTTCTACCCAGGAATTAATTTCTCATCTTGAAAGTTGACAGTTAAATAGGCTACATAATTATCAGGTTAGACCGAAGCAAATGAAGCAATTTAACTAAATTGTAAAAATGGATATAATCAGAGTTTATATATGCTAGGACAATTTTAACACACAGGTTCTTACCTTCTGTAACTTCTTGGTTGATAAGCTGAACTTGCAAACCAAAGATCTGTTCCTGCACTTTGGTGTGTGACAGTTTCAGTTTCTCTCGCCTGCTTATCATGTAGCATAGATTTCGGACCTGCAAGCCCAATCCCCAGCAAATGAAGATGTTTGTTATATTAAGCAACTTTACAGTTGAAATTGTTCAGTTATATTGAAGGTCATGAGTTCTTATGGCTGTGGGAGTAAGGAGTGAAGACAAGATCCAAGGGCCACAGACCACAACCCAAATCAAAGGAATTACTACACCATGAACAATCATGGGGACACGGTTCCCATGCCAATCTGCTCTAAAAGCAAGTGCTTCAAGCTTCCCTATAAACCTATTCTCTAGTCTACAATTTAATGGATCAATATTTACATATACAGTCCAGCTAAGAAGATAATAGCATCATATTTTAGCCTTCCCTATCTATCCCTGAGTATGAATGATAGCACTTGGCATCTGTACCACCAGGTCTTATTCATTTCTAGAGATTAGACAATTATGGAATTTCCTAGGGTAAATACAGCACCTAACTTTTCTTTGAATTTTTATAGCACTTAATTTATCCAATGAATACATCATGAGTTAAATTACCTGGTGAAGTGGCTGTCAATCAGAGATGATTTTAACCCCTAGGAGGAATCTGGTAAATTTGGAAAACAATTTTGTTTGCCAGAACCAAGTGTATAAGAGGACTGGTATATAGTGGGCAGAAATAACTGATGCTGCTAAACATCCTATCCTGTCACTCACAACAAAGGTCAGTACTCCACAATAAATAACTACTCAGCTCAAGATATCCATGGTGCTCAGTCTGAAAAACTAAGACAGTGCTTTTCTGAACAAAATTCACTCATCAGGCTTCAGTCTCAGAAATATGTTAGTAAAATATAGCTGAGCCATTTTAGACTTGACAGTGAATTAAAAAGTAAATCAACTGAGAATAATAAATTCAAAGTCAAAGTTCATAGAGCAAATACATGAGGTCTTTCCATTCACATGTCTATATAGACAATAGAGCTGGTCACCTTACCCTCTCTAGGTCCTGCCTCAGGTGCATAAACATTCTCATACGAGTATGAATGCTTTCTTCTTTTGGCTGTACCAAGACATGTTCTTCCTCTTCTTTTGGAGGAATTAATGGCTTGTTGAAGTTGCTTTTGCGCTTCAGTTTCCAGTAGTTATAGATAAAGTCGACAGTTAACGCAGATAGCCCCAGCTCTTTGGCAACATCATCTACCTGGACCAAGGTGTAGAATTCTTCTTCTAGTTCACGAAGCTTCTGTGCCCGCAGGCTGGTTTTCTCACTTTTTGCCTGGCTCTGCTCAGCAACTCTGTGGTGGTGGTACTCAGCTTCCCCAACTTTTGGCTTGTTTTGGCTATGCTTGAGGCAAAATGACTTGAACTTTACTTCATCACCCTCATCTAGGATGGTCTTCATTTCTAGACCGTGCTCAAAGGCACAGGTGACATGGAAGGCAGTAATACAGCTTTTCACAGAGCACTAAAGGAGAAAAAAAGTGTTAAGGCATTAGATGGGAAGAGGATAGGGATCCCCTATGTTTCTGGGACCAAACTGTGAGCTTTTATAGGAAGCAAAGGAAAGAGGGAGGGAAGGCTTGACTATGACAAATATTTTACAAGTAAAGAAAAAAAAGATGAAACAAAAAGAAAAAGAGAAAAATATTTTACATGATTTTTTTTTTTTTACAAATAACCGAGGAAACTTGTTCATATAGAAAACAGCAAAAACAGAGGCAAAAATATGAAATTCCTATTTTAAGGTTTCAATTCAAGCAGCAAATAAGCGTTGAGCTGCTTTTTTTGAGAAGTCTTTGCTTTATTTAGTTATGGTTTCTTCTCTCTGTCCTCCATATTACCTATATATGCTTTTATTGTAGTACTTTTCACACACTACCTACTAATAGCTGAAAAATTCCTGGACATAAAGTTATGACAGAAGCTATGTCAACTACCTGTGCACCAGTATGTCATCAATTCAGGCAACACCATAAACTACTGAGAAAGCAGTTGCTCAGGATAAATGAAAGAAAACACACAGTCAAAATTATTGCTAGGACATCCATGGCTCTAAAAGGTCACAGGAACTTCAGTATCTAAGCAACCTAATTTCCTGAAAATTTTCTAATACAGCTGATCTATGCATTAGACTAGACAACTAGTCATGAAAAGCTATTTAAATATAAATTAATTTAAATGGGACCAAGATGATGAGCATGTTAGACCCCTTGTATTGCATGTGTGAGGCCCTGTGTTTCATCTTATAACTATAAAATGTTAATTAAAACTATATACTACAAGGAGCAATGGCTCAGCAGATAAGGGGGCCTTGTCAAAAAAACTGATGATGAATTAAATCCCTAGGACCCACACGGTAGGAGAGAGTTGACTCTTGCAAGTTATCCCCTAATCTCCACATGTGCACTCCCCTCAATAATACATATTATTTAAAATGACATACAATGAAAAATTTAACTCCTTAGTCACATTAGCCACACTTTAACCAAACTACACACACACACACACACACACACACACCCCAAAACAAACAGAAACATTTCCATCACTGTAGTCAGTTACAGAAGAATTTGGTTACAAGACATTTTCCCTTAAAGAAATGGAGGAAAAGACAAAAATGGGAAGAAAACAATAAATCCCCTAAAGAAAGCCAAAGAAAGCAAGGAAAATAATTGAACAAGTGAAGAAAACAGTCCAAGTCTTGAAAACTGAAATAGAGGCAATAAAGAAAACACAAACTAAGGGGATTCTGGAAATGTAAAATCTGCACAAATAAGCAGGAACTAAAGATGCAAGCATAACCAACAGAATGCAAGAGATTGAAGAGGGAATCTCAGGCATTAAAGATATACTAGGGGAAATAGATTAATTGGTCAAAGAAAATGTTAAACCCAACAAATTCTTAGCAAAAAACATCCAGGAGATCTGGTCCCCCATGAAAAGACCAAACCTAAGAATAATAGGGGTAGAAAAATTCCAGCTCAAAGGCACAGAAAATATATTCAACAAAATCATAGAAAAAAACTTTACTAGCCTAAAGAAGGAGATGCCTATGAAGGTACAAGAAGCTTACAGAACACCAAAGTGACTGGACCAAAAAAGTCCACTGGGCATATAATAATCAAAACACTAAACATACGAATAAAGAAAGAATATTAAGAGCTGCAGAGGAAAACGGCAAAGTAACATATGAAGGCAGACTGATCAGAATAACACCTGACTTCTCAATGGAGACTTTCAAATCCAGAAGGTCGTGGACAGATGTACTGCAGACACTAAGAGACCATGGATGTCAGCCCAGACTACTATACCCAGCAAAGCTTTCAATCACCACAGGCAGAGAAAACAAAATATACCATGACAAAATCAGATTTAAACAATACCTATCCAGCCCTACAGAAAGTACTAGAAGGAAAACTCCAACCCAAGGAAGTTAGCTACACCCATGAAAACACAGACAATAGATAAGCTCATAGCACCAAAACCCAAAGAAGGGAACACACAAACACTACCACCGCCAAAACCAAATGTAACAGGAATCAACAATCACTTGTCATTTATATCTCTTAATATCAATACTCAATTCACCTATAAAAAGACACAGGCTAACAGAATGGATACAAAAACAGGTCTCATCCTTCTGGTTTGAATAAGAACCCCACCTCAACCTCAAAGACAGACATTACTTCAGAGTAAAGGGGTGGGAGAAGATTTTCCAATCGGATGGACCTAAGAAACAAGTGGGTATAGCTATTCTAATATCTAACAAAATAGACTTCAAACTAAAATTAATCAAAAGAGATGGATTAATCACAATCCATCAAGATGAAGTCTCAATTCTAAACACGTATGCCCCCAATACAAAGGCATCCACATTTGTAAAAGAAACATTACTAAACTTAGCTCAGACATCAAACCCCACACATTAATAGTGGGAGACTTCACACCCCACTCTCACCAATGCACAGGTCTGCCTGACAGAAATTTAACAGAGAAATAAAGGAACTAACAGATGTTATGAATCAAATGAACTTAACAGACATCTTTAGAACATTTCACCCAAACAAAAAGAATATACCTTCTTCTCAGCACCCCATGGAACCATCTGGAACCATCTCTAACAAAACAAACCCCAACAGATAAAAAAAAAAAAAAAACTGGAATAACCCCTTGTATCTTATTGGATCACCATGGCTTAAACTTGGAATTCAACAGCAACACTAACTGCAGAAAATCTACAAACTCATGAAAATTGGACAATGCTCAATTGTATCATCACTGGGTGAAGGAAGAAATAATGAAATGAAAGACTTCCTAGAATTCAATGAAAATGAAAGCACAACATACCCAAACTTATGGAACACTGTGAAAGCAGTGCTGAGAGGAAATTTCATAGCACTAAATGCCTACATAAAGAACATGGAGAAATCTCACACTTGCGACTTAACAGCATACCTGAAAGCCCTAGAACAAAAAGAAGCAAACTCACTCAGGAGAAGTAGACAACAGTAAATAAGCAAATTGAGGGCTGAAATCAACAAAATAGAAACAAAGAGAACACTACAAAGAATCAATGAAACAAAGAGTGGTTCTTCGAGAAAATCAACAAGATGGACAAACCCTTATCCAAACTAACCAAAAGGCAGAGAGAGAATATCCAAATTATCAAAATCAGAAATGAAAAGGGGGTCATGACAACAGACACTGAGGAAATCCAGAGAATCATCATGTCATACTTTGAAAACCTGTACTCCACAAAATTGGAAAATTTAAAAGAAATGGACAACTTTCTGGATAGGTACTACATACCAAAATTAAACAAATCAAGACCAGATAAACAATTTAAAAAGACCTATACCCCCCAAGGAAATAGAAGCCATCATCAAAAGTCTCCCAACAAAAAAGCCCAGGACTACACGGTTCAGTACAGAATTCTACCAGAATTCCAAATAAGAGCTAATACCAATACTCCTCAAGTTCTTCCATACAATAGAAATAGAAGGAATATTGCCAAACTTTTTTTTATGAGGCCACAGTTACCCTGATACCCGAACCACAAAAAGATACAACTAAGAAAGAGAATTACAGACCAACATCACTCATGAATATTGATGCAAAAATACTCAATAAAATACTGGCAAACTGAATCTAAGAACACATAAAAAATCATCTACCATGATCAAGTAGGCTTCATCCTAGAGATTCAAGGATGGTTCAACATATGAAAATCTGTCAATAAATAATATAATATAAATAAACTGAAAGAAACCACATGATCATCTCAGATGCTGAAAAAGCCTTTGACAAAAATCCAACACCCTTCATGAGAAAGGTCTTAGAGAGATCAGGAACACAAGGAATATATTGGAACATAATAAAGGCAATATACAGCAAGCCAACAGCCAACATCAAACTAAATGGAGAGAAACTCAAATAGATCCTAGTAAAATCAGGAACAAGACAAGGCTGTCCACAGTCCATATTTAATCAATATAGTACTTGAAGTTCTAGCTAGAGCAATAAGACAATAAAAGAACAGCTAAGGGGATACAAATGGATGGGAAGAAGTCAAACTTTCACTATTTGCAGATGATATGATGGTATACACATGTGACCCCCAAAGTTATACCAGGGAACTCCTGTATCTGTAAACACCATCAGTAATGTGACAGGATACAAGGTTAACTAAAAAAAACCAGTAGTCCTCCTATATACAAATGATAAATGGGCTGAGAAAGAAATCAGAGAACCATCACCCTTTACAATAGCCACAAATAGCATAAAATATCTTGGGGTAACTCTAACCAAACAAGTGAAAGACCTGTATGACAAGAACTTTAAGTCTTTGAAGAAATCAGAAAATGGAAACATCTCCCATGCTCTTGGATAGGTAGGATCAACATAGTAAAAATGGCAATCTTACCAAAAACAATCTATAGATTCAATGCAATCCCTATTAAAATTCCAACACAATTCTTCATAGACCTCAAAAGAACAATATTCAACTTTATATGGAAAAACAAAAAACTTAAGATAGCCAAAACAATCCTGTACAATAAAGGAACTTCTAGAGGCATCACCATTCCTGACTTCAAGCTCTACTATAGAGCTAAAGTAATAAAAAAACAGCTTCGTATTGGCATGAAAACAGATACATGGATCAGTGGAAGTGAACTGAAGATCCTGATGTTAATTCACACACCTATAAACACCTGAGTTTTTGAAAAAGAAGCCAAAATTGTACAATGGAAAAAAGAAAGCATCTTCAACAAAAGGTGCTGGTGTAACTGGATGTCAACATATAAAAGAATGCAAATTGAACCATATCTATTCCCATGCACAAAACTCAATTCCAAATGGATCAAATACCTCAACATAAATCGAGCTACAATGAACCTGGTAGAAGAGAAAGCTTTGAATACATGGGCACAGGAGATCACTTCCTAAATATAACAGCAGTAGCAT